CTGTTTCGTGTGGTTAATCTTATTCCCCCAGTGATGTGGCAGCACTTTTATAACAGGACCCATGGATTTTATTCCTGCTGCACCTTGTGAGTGTAGATCATGGAGCAGACACCTGATAAATATGTGCTGGCTTTTCTTGTTGTTTTTATTGCTTTATCCCAGAAAGAGAATTAAAAGCAGTCACGATTCTGATTTTCCCAGCCTTGCCCAGTCATTCTTTTCCTTCCAGCCCAACCAGACTCATCACCTTCTCCTACATCACCTTTCCATATTCCTACCATAAATAACAGCATCGGTTTTGTTGTTTGTTTGCTTGTTTTTTGCAGCCTTCCATACATAGACTATAACTTTCACAGAGGCTGCTCAGCTCTGTTCCCTGCTTCCGTCAGACGTCTTCCATCAGGCAGGAGGCATCAGTAAATTATTATTGCCTCGGTCAGCTTAGGGCTCACTCCACAGCCATGAGCCTCTCTTTCTCTAGGATTCCTATAGGAAAGGGGATGAAACTCAAAGAAATGGAGGCACCAACCAGGTATGGGGAGAGCGTCCTGGTTAGCTGTGTAACAATAATTGTTTTGCACCAGGAGTCCCTTGCTCAGGCTATGGGCACAGAATGACAGCCCTGGCTTTGCTCCTGAGCGCTACCCACTTCCGATTTTACCCTAATCCTCACTTTGGCTCTCACTCCCAGCAGAACCGTACACAGTCTATATAAATGTTTTCTTCTGTTGACAGGTGAAGTCTGGAGCAGGACTCTAAGGCTTTCTGTCCTCCATGCCGCTTACCAGAAGAGGGACTGTGAACTGTAAGTAACTTTGATTGGCGTTTTCCATGCTGACTCAATTAGGTTATGGGTTAAAGACCAGCCATGAACCTGATCTTTAACAGCCATGCATTGTGCAAGACAAACACTCAACAATGGGCAAGTCAGAATGCAAACTACAGTGGATGTATAATTAGATTTGGTCTGAATGTGACAAAGAAGCTCTGTAATATGACATCTTCTTTAATTAGACTATTGATTGTGCGTTAGGGGGACTTGCTGTGTTATGCGTGCATCAGTGTTGGAGAGAGAAGCTCTTGAGTTTGCAAGGCTGACCCCGACCCTGGCCACCAGCGTCTGTGGACTAAGCTTGGCGGGCAATGAGAGGAGGAACTGGGCTGACGGTAGAGCTTGCACTCGTTTTTACATCTGGTTCTTTCTAGGGTGGGGTGAGGGAGGACAGGAAATACTGCTGGTCACTTCCCTTCCATTACAGAGTAACATCCCACCTTATACTTATGCTCATTGGCTCCTATTTGTTCTCCTGCTCGGCAAAGTCCTCCAACCTGTAGGACCCAGCCCAAGTCCAGTCTCCTCTGCGGAGCCTTCTTCGGTAACTCCAGCTTCTGAAATTCTACTGCACTCACACGCGGAGCACCCTTCGGGCCCGCTCCAGGCTGGGAGCTCCTGGAGGGCTGTCTGGGATCCCCGTGTCCTCATGTCCCCACTGCACTTGCAACCTCGTTGCTCCTCTGCAGATGTGAGCTGGGAGACGGGGTTGCCCTGGCTCCATGGCTTCTCCACCCGGCTTCTGGGGCTACCAGAGACCCAGCTGCTGCTACGACTTTGATAACACATTGGCTTCCAACCAGTCCATGGAATTATAAATGATTAACCGTTATCAGCGCACATCTTCACCTCTGTGTAAAAATAGATTGACTATAATGAGTATTTGAATAAATCATAAGAATGGCCGCCCTGCGATCGTCTAACATCCTGCCGATGGCTGCCCGGTGAGTGAGCAGGGCGCCGGCCCTCCCGCCTAATGGCCTGCGAGTCAGTGCTGGTTGCCTCGGTGATTGACGGCCATGGCTCCCGGGGCACCTCCTCTCCAGCCTGGGCTCTGGAGTGGTCGGATCCCCAGGCCCAGGGGGCGAGGAAGGGGGCCTCCCTCCATCCTGTTCCAGGAAAGCCTACCTAAGGAGACGGGGCTGGGGGTGAGGGAGCCAAAGTAGAAAGATAATGACCATTGTGAGAATCGATGTCTCCTCGCACCGGAGGTTAGAGGGACCTCATAAGTCAATTCAAGTACGGAGGAGCAAGCCGAGCGTGAAGCTTAATGAGAGTGGAGCATGTGGGGGAAATAGGTCTGCACATTCCCTCCCTGCCCCTGAGGGCAGCCAAGCGCCCGGGCCACCCACACCCAGGGAGAGCAACCTGGCAGGACAAACTCTTGGACCTGCCCTGAGGAACAAGGAAGAATAGGTTTCTCCAGG